TAAAGTCCTTACGCCCTTTACACCCTTAGCTTAAATAGAATTTTCGCCTTGATGAAAAGATAGAACCAAAGTTCCGAAAGTCTTTATAAAAGAAGTTACTGCATCAATTTACCACACTTCTCTAGCGAATTGCCTTAGAATTCATTATTATCTGTCCTTCCTTCTATAAATCTTAATTTACTGAAAGTATGTTAATATATAAATGAAAAAGGATGCAGGGCTTAAATGTTTTATTACGTATAATTTTTACTACGTACGTACACGTACAGCAATCTATGTGACATATGATCGACTCCAGACTTGAATATGCAAAACTTTTTTATTTTTTAATATTGGGGTTCAGTTTCTCAGGATCCAGTGATACATCAACTTTATTGATACAATTCGAAAATCATTCAAACGCGAATACGAAAATTGAGCATCACGAAATAGTGTTTTTTAATTGCAATGATATATAAAATTTTCATTTTTCACTTCTAAATTAACGGATAAAAGATAAATAATTTGAGAAGGCAATTGAATATTTGTACATTTTGTCCGATAATTATTACGTATAACCTCTATTTACGAAATAAAAATTCATGCAGTTATTAACAGTATAATTCGATCATTTACTCGAAATTAATCAATGTGACAATGCAAAGATTGATATCGATATTATTGATTGATTCTCACTAAATCATGTTTCTCTTCAAGAGGTAAATAATTTTTTTTCTATTTAATATATTAGACCTTTCAAAATTGCAAAAATAAAAAAAAGATTTTTTTTTTTTTTGTTTATATTATTATAAAATTTCGTTTTCAAGAAGAATAATGGGTCTTACAAATTGTTTCCATAATATATCCACACATTCATCCAATATCAAATATGAAAATATCACAAGATGTTTGACAATTTTCTTGTTTACCATACTTTTTGTGGCTTTCATAGTTTATGACATCCGTAAAGCAATATTAATGTTCAACCAAAATGTTATTTGGGACTGACGGGAACTAAAGGAACCGAATGTGATAATCGTTGGTGGACTCAAAGACCTATTGAACAATTCAAATTTATTTTCCCAGACACAATTGGAGAAGGTAGTATGAATCAAATATTCAGACCAAAATATTAAAATATTAATCAATATCTTTATACGTATTTTATTTTATCAGCATGGCTTCCAAATGCAAGAAATTGTTACGTACTTACACCTCCATTCACGGCAATGTTTTCACCAAACTTAACAGAAGAGATGACCATTTATATTTATTCTAACGAATCCACTATACCCGTCCAGTCAAATCCTCGATGGGGTATATATTGATTCTTCAGACTTTTGTGGGCACGTGATCACACGAACTCTGTTAGAGTAACTGTCCTAGCGTTATCAATCTGAAAATTTTCTCCATCTAGTCAAATCAAATTTCAAGATCAGGCGTAACCTAAAATCAAAAAAAAAAATGCACACTAAAACAAAATAGTGGTAACGCTAGGATGGTCGCTAGAATTTGTTATCAGTTATGTTAAGGTTTTTAAGTTTTTGCCGCCAAGATTTCGAGGCAAATTCCACAATTGTGAAATGGTAAAATTACGGACACAACATTCAAATGGCTGGTAGATGCAACATTGAATAGAATTAACATTAGGGTAAGCATTAGGGTAAGTGTATTCTTGTAATACCGGCCATTGTTGTGTCCATAAACACGTGAATGTTGTGTCAGCAACAATCTTGTAAAATTATAAAGTTTAACAATGCTCATTATCAATCACCTTTAAGTATTCATGGCGTTTTATGTGAATTTAAATCTCTCAATCGTGGAATCAACTTGAAATGAAAGTTCTATAGAAAATAGTTTAATAATTTTTTTAATATTTAAATTTTTTTTACTAACAGAAAATGAACATTTTTTAAATTACAGTTCAATTCGGTGCCTTTTGGCCATGGATGGGACAAGATCCATATTTAGTTCGACCTGAATTTTTTAATCTGCCAAGCGAAACGTTGTTCGGTTTTTCACGAAGAGAACGATATAAATTGGTAAGTATTATATACTATATACGTAGTATTATATCTATGATAATATTAATATGTTAAGTTATTTTCTCTAAATTATTATGATAAAAGGATGGAGAACTCCAAGTTGCTTATGATGTATCTCCTGCAAG